TCTAGAGACAGAAAGAAAAAAAGCTTCAACTCTTTATCTAAACTAAGCTTCTACACAGTCTCCCAAGACAGCAGTCACCAGAAGAGTACAACTGAGCAAAGCAATCCCTGCTTGCAGAAAACCCTTTGGAATCTAATGATAGCTCAACCCAGCTGCTGTGTGGCACTACAGCCCCACAACCCTTCCAGCAGAGCAATCCCACTGCCACAGTTCCTGACATATCCTTCCACCTTTCCCAAAATCAAAAAAATAATACAAATGGACCCATCTCCACAGCTCAACGGAGTTTGGCGTTTCATGCGTGGAACACTTGACCTCACACGGTCTAATTAGGAGTACTGTGCTCAACCTTTGCTCCCATTAAACCGGGAGGAACTTCCAGTGCCAACACATGCAAGTGACAAATGGATGCAGGGAGAGAATCCTGTATGATCTGGGGTCATTCTAGAAAATGTTTTCATTCCTGGAAATCAGCACACTTTATGAAGCCTTTGCCTTCTCTATCCCGTTAAAAAACACGTGGGGCATCCCCCACTCAAATACACAGCAACCTGAAAAAGCTTCTGTAATGCAAATTACCATTTGTCTGAGGAGGAGGAGGATAGGGATCTTTGTGGCAGCCATTAGCCAAGGGTGTCCTCACCCCTGAATCCACCCTCTGTAAAGCCCTCTGCAGAAGGCCCAATCGAACATTTTCTCTGGTTATTTCAAATCTTCAAGAGTAGCAACATTCCAATGGAAACAGTTATACCTCAGACTGTGAGGATGCAACACTAAAACTTTAAAAATATCAATTTACAATAATTTCCTTCCCATCCCAGGCAAGACCCTCCCTTCTAATGTAAAAATTCTCTCTCTGCTGTTGTACAGCTTGGGCAAAATAGCTTGAGAATTGCAAGATGCCTGTGTAGATGAGCCTGTAAGTCACCAGCATTTCAAACCTCGCTTGCCAATCTGGGGTTTCTATTTTAAACTCAAATTTTCCACCCAGTATATTTCAAAGAAAAACTTCTAGGAACTACATATCGTCTTTTAATTATTAAGACTGGTATGCATTCAGTTTTTTACTTATACACAGAAGAAAGGACAGTGGAAGAACATTAGTCTGCTACTACTACAGGGAAAAACAGTAAAGCTTTTATGGGCAGAACAGGCCTTTCCCCACTCTGAAAGCAAAACTGAGTGAGTTGGTAATGAAAACCTAAACTAGGAATTAAAAAAAAATAACCAGAAACAAAACCAACAAAAACCAAAACCTACACACATCAGATCACTTCATTGACCATAAAGCAATTTGTGCAATCTGACTTGGATTTTCACAGATTAAAATCTGTCTCTCTCTCCAATACAGTAATTTCTTCATCTGCACTGACACAGCAGAAGACAGCTCCACATCCACATTTTAAAAGCCACTGCACTCCAAAGTGAGCTTTAATTCTTTTATCTGCCACTCAAAAAACACCTTAGCTAAAGCACATGCTCTTGAGGTGCAACTGAACCTGGAGACTAATAAATCTCTTACCACTAGTGACCATTTATTTTGTCTGCTTCACTTGCATGCCTCAAAATTATTTTTTTTTACTTGTATTTATAACTAAAAATAAGGTACGTTTCTTTCTGGGCTGGATGAACCTCAGGAGATTAAAAACTCACACCACTTCAGGTATGAGGAGTTGGTTTAAACACTAACAAATGCAAAACTCTCAAATCCCCAGGCAGCACACTGACTAGCAGAAAGAGAAAAAAAATATAGTTTTTGCAGGACTTTTCCCAAAACACATCATAGTGATTTTAGCAGCAGAAACAGCAAGACCTAAGATGCTGAGTATTTAGCAAACATTTTACTAACTGTGGCATGCTGTTTTCTAGGGCTGTTTGAGGAAAACACGAATCTGAAGCCACAGTTGTCTTCACTAAAAAAAGTGACCTATGCCAACTCATATTCAAAATGACAGACTATGTTCTAGAAGAAGTTTGGCCATATAGTTCAAGAAATTACTACAATGCTTTGTCAGATCTGCAGGAATGCTTCAACAGGCAGTTACAAAATTCAGTAGGATAGAAATAATAGGGGGAAAAAAGCCAAATAATTGGCTTGTTTGCCTGTTTGTTCGTTTGGTATCTGATAGCACAGTCTGCAGGTAAAGTCTAGCTGAGCCTTAAAAAAAGGATATATAAATTTCAGAGATTCATTCACAGCCACTTCCCCACTCATACATCCCGTAGCTGCATATTCCTTCATCTATTTCAGCTCCTAATGACTGCAAGGAAGAGGTTGAGAGTCAACCTAAATTGGTTCAGCTTTTACTCTTCACAGGGCACAAACTTTAATTTCAACTACTCTTTACATAATTTAAATAATACACACGGTGCTCTCTTTATTTGATTCTCAAACCAGTTGTATCTCAAGCACAATGGGACATGTCACCGACACTTGCTTTGCTGCCCTCATAATATGGTTTAATTATGATGACTGAACTAACAGGCTCACATCATAGACTTTTACAGGTTGACCCTGTGTCATCCTGATGTATCATTTTGCACCAGTTCAGTGCTGTAAATCAATTTAAGATCTCCAGCAGGTTGAAAAGGCTGGTAATGATGCTTTCTCTGCAGTCTCTGGGGACTCCACATTATACACAACTTACATTATTTATAAAGCTGAGATGATGCCTCCATTAGGCCTGTAAGACTACTCAAATGATATTTTACGCACACAGCTTGGGCTGCACAGAGCAGAATACTGGCAATATGTAATATCCAGTGCATTCATGCTTTAATTTAAAGAAAAATAACCAAAACAGTCATAACCCCTTCATTTTTAAAATTTAAATCTTTATAGCAAGCAAAGAAATTAACAGTTTAATCTGAATAATTTTCTAGTACTCAGAAACACAAGTAGCACTTTTATTAACCTTTGTATTGTTTTTCTTCATGTTCACCTATTCTGTTTTCAAACTACAGAGGAAAAACAAACACCAAACTCATCAGTTTCAAATAGTTGATTTGATAGTTACTATTTATATGAAAACAGAAAGATCTCCATCTGTTTACTCAGTCACTTGTCTCAAATGTATCAGATCATCACATCTTCAAGGGTACACAAAAAAGCAAGTTGAACAGAACAGAATAGGAAAAAAATGTATTTGATTACATACCCAATGGTAATGGGGTCAAAACAGATGCAAGGACAAATCCCTACCCTTAGGGTAACCTGATCAGCCTTGAACTGATCATTTCTCATAGCTGTGGAAGGCTTCTGGATCACCCAAATCAAGGGAAATTTCTCTCAAGTGCCTACTTACAGTCTGAAGTAAATTGCAAGACTTCAGCCCTAAGACCACAGCAAGGACTCCCAAAAGGGCCAGATCACTCTCATTTTCATACTGATGTTCTTTCAGTCATAACAGAGAAGTAAGCACCCAAACCCTGCACTAAAATCCAATGGGAACCTTGAAAAACCTTCATAGCACTGCTCTCTGGTTTAAGGGGGAAATTAAATACTAATCAGCTGCAACTAAAAACTCACGTCCCATAATTCAGCCAAATCATTACTCACAAGTAAAAGAAAAAAATAAGCCAAACTTATGTTCCCTCACATGATTTGCTCCTATTGTTTGACATGACAAGGTGCATACAGTCAGCCACATGAAGAATTACAGACACACACCTGCAAAGAAAAGTGTTCTCTGTGGGCTGGGTAAGCTACTGTTTTTAATCTTACTCCTGAATGCTGCTTGAAAATACATATAATTATTGGAAGAAAAAATTTTAAACAAGTTTTTTTTTCTGACTTCCCCCTCTGTGTGCAAAACAGATTCAAACTATCAGCTATGACCGCTCTTTCCTAAGAAGCATGTTAGTTTTAAGGTGCAATATCTTTGAACACTGACATCCATTAAACACTGACATGTTTCAGGCAATGATCTTTTCCATTTGCCTGTATCTGAAATACACATTTACTTTTACTCCTCCCCATCTGGCTCTAACAATACAGTTTTCATTAAGCTCTGTTGAAAATACTTCCCCAAATAAAACTGTAGACACGCAGTGAGCATCATGTTATCCTAAAGTACACCAAAAAAATGATTAATTTTCAGAATAAGCTGTTGTTATCCAGATACTGTAAAAGCAAACTGTAAGGTCGGACTGTGTACCTTCTTCAGATTGATCTTCTAACAAAAGAGCAATCACAGCAACCCTGCCTCGGTCAGAACTCTCTCTGACTTCAGTTTATATAAAAAAAAAAAAAAAAGTCAGTATTTGGCCCAGATCATTTTGAACGCATGACTGAATATTTCCATGCCAGTAAATTTTAATAAGCTTTAAAGATCTATATTCAGGATAAGATTATTTGGCTGTACAAGTATATGAAGCAACTATACTGAAGAGGGGGAAAATCTCAAGCATCCAAACCCTCTAACAGGGAAAAGAAAAAAAAAAAGTGAACTTTCCTTGACCTCTAAGCGCAGATTTGTCATTAAAGAAGAAAGAAGGGGACGGGAGGGAAAAAAAAGCAGGAGGGGAAGGGGCTGCGGAAAGAAAGGAAGGGAGAAAAAAGAAGAAAGAAGATAAATTAGAGGGAGAGGGACGCGGCCGGGCCGCGGCGGGAGGCGAAGGGCTGCTCCCGCACACACAAAGGCGGCCCCTGCCCCGGCTCCGCCGCGTCCCCGCGATGGGGCCGGGGCCGGGGCCGGGGAGGAGCCGCAGGACGGCGCTTCCCGGCAGGGAAGGGCTCTGCCGCCCGCCGGGCCCGGCGCGGCACCTACCCACCAACTCGGAGCCGGGAGCGGTCCCCGCCGGGCCGCCATCATGCCGGGAGGCGAGCGGGAGCACCGCTGCCCGGAGCCGCTCCCGCCGCGCCGCACGGCCCCGCCGCCGGGAACACCACCGCAAGGACCGCGGAGGAGGAGGAGGAGGAGGGGAGGATGCGCGGGCACAGCCGCCCGGCCTCGGGGACAGTGAGCGGGGAGAGGTGCGGGGGAACGCGAAGTTGTTACCGGCTGGCGGGCGGTGACGGGCGGCCAGCAGGCAGCTCCTCCGCGCCGGAATCGGGATCGGGATCGGGATCGGGATGGATGTGGCCCGGCCGGCGTCAGGCGGCCGGAGCCGCCCCGCGCCGCTCACCGGCACACTCACACACACACTCGCATACACACACGCACCGGCCCGGCCAGGGATCCTCCCCAAATTCCCGCCCCCGCCGCCGCGCCGCCGGGTCCCGCTGGGAGCGCTGCGCCCGCCGCCGGAGAGCGGCCGCGGCACGGCACGGCACGGCCCGGCCCCGCACGGCACGGCACGGCACGGCCGCTGTGTGCCCTAGCCCGACCCTCGCCCCGGCTGTGAGCCCCCTCCGACACCGTCACTGGGGCTTAGGAGGCGTTTCTGCCCCGCCGGAGCGGCCGGGGAGCTCCGGCAGCGGGGCTTCGGGGACAGCGGAGGATGCTGTCGGACTTGGAGTTAAAGTCCATTCCTGACGGAACAGGATTATGTCCTGCCGCTTGCTACAGGTGATTCAGGCTTGACTTGGTCTAGTCTTAATACTGAAATAATTGCTGTAATACCTCCCAATGACAGAGCACTCTCTAACCCCAGGTGTTTTACACGTGGACATTCTCCTGCCCGTAGGTATTGCTGCACTTAGTCCTCATTCATGCGAGTAAAGCTATTACAGTGCTGGAGGCTTCTTGTGCAGTCAGAGCCACAGTAATGAAGCCTCAAGTCGCTGTCCCTGGGACTTGAAGTCCATTTGGATCTGCAAGTGTCGGCTCCAAAGTGGAACTGACTGAAAGTTTGGAGCTCACATGTGGAATGGCAAGCCTCTCCTGCCCACTCACAGGATTTTTACAGTAGTCAGGTAAGTGTTGCGCAAGCAAGATTGAACTGAAACTGATTCTTTGGCTTTTACCCAGTCATCGTTCCTGGAAGGAGATTTCAAGCAACAAGTGCAAGATGTTCCTACGTGGCAAAATATTCTGATATGCCTATACACATAATTGTACCCCTAGACTTAGGCCAGTAAATTTTGACATGTATAGACAGTTCTGGTATGACTTTAAACTAATTTTAAAGTCCAGGAACACTGAGGCCTGGAGGACTTAAGGCCCTGAGAGTTTTACCAGATGAACAGTTGTCCTGCCCACCCAAGTGCATTGTGAGTCTGAAGACACAGAAGTGGAATGGCTTGCCCAAGATCACAGAAGGAGCACGACAGCAGCAGTAAAAAATTCCCAGGTCTATGCCTGTGAAGGTATCAGCGCTTCTTTCTAACTTCGTAATCTAAAATTCATCCATTTCATTGCCACATATGCCACATAAATACCACATATATTGCAAACAGGTGAATTGTACAATTTTGTTAGGTATTATGCTACAATAATAGTAGAGGAACTCCCACACAGGATGATGCCATAATATTGATGGGGAAAGCCTGGAATAAAATTACTCTTTTACTGCTTAAATTTTGAACCTTGAATGATTCAAGATGAGTGAACTTTGGTAATCAGCTTTAATGTGTATTTTGTGCTTGCACTGTACACAACTACACTTAGCAAGTAAACTTCTTTCTATGTGCAATCACAGATATAGTGCAGCACTGGACTGCAAATACAACTGGTAAAGTTTATCTCAAGACAAACTGAATGGTCTTTAAAGTTTGGCAGTGTAATGAAGGCATTTGCGAGTAAAGTACAGGAGAAACATGAAACTGATATCTGGTTTTTGTACTGTGGTAGTGTCCTGGATCAAGAGTAGTGGATGCAGCAGTAGTACCTGCCCAAGAGCTTGGCAGTCTCAGTGATCCAGTCTCACACAGAGAAAAACATGGAAAAGGCCTTTCATGTGCTTGAGCTCTGCTGTAATGTGCTCTGCAGGCTGACTTCGTGGGCACAAGCTCCATCCACTGGATCCTGGTTGCTGAAGTATCAATTCATGATTCACACTAAACAGATATGACAAGGAGATAATTAGGGAAGCACTGCAGTTTGTCAGGTGTCTTGTTAGAACCACATTTTTACTGCTTTTGTTGTTGTTGTTAGGGTTGACCGGTTGGTTGGCTTTGGCATGAGAGAATTAAATTATTTTCTACTTACGTTGAGGCTTGGGGAGGATCACATTAATATGCTGCTTTCCTTAAAAAAGGCTATGAAACAGCCTAGGAGAGTCTTTCTCTGATGTTTAATAACCAGAGTGGTTGTCCTGGAGGGGGCTGGGTAGCCTGGCTTCAGACAGAGCAGTGGTGTGAGAAGACCAGGGGAAAAGGCAGAAACAGTGTGCCCTGGTCAGATCTTCCTCAAGGCTTCCCTGCCTGGGCTGTTCTGGCACACTAGCCAGAATAAAACTTCAAGTCTGCCCCCTGCTTTAGGATGTGCAGGTGGAGCTGACTGTCCAAACCCATTACTCTGTGGGTGAGCAGCATCAGCAGTGTCTTACTGCACACTCACCACTTCTAAATCCACTGGCTAATTTAATACCCTGAATCATTAACTTCTTCCTGCCTTTTCTGAATAACATTAGAAAACTGAAAAAAGGAAATCAGAGAGGTATGTACACCTGGGTATCAACCTTGATGCTCCTCTGCACTGGGCTGAATAACTGTGCTATCTCAAGAGGCAACAGAGAATAGGTTTTTTCTCTTTTTGCTCTGCAGCTACATGATCATTCAGACTAGTGCAAGGAAAACAGGCCGTGAGGCTGGGGCAATGAAGAAAGAGAAGAACCATTCCGTCTGTAAACTGCCTGTCTTTTCATCAGATTAGGTGCACAATCTGATGGCACCATCAGTCATAAGGCCTGTGGACCTGAATTTTAATGGAGTTGGGGCACTTACACAGATAAATGTCTATTATGATTCTCAAAGGAAACTTTAATCTCACAGACACTTTCTAGCATCTCACCAAGCACCTGCCCAATCGGCTTTAAAATCTGTGTCTCGGAAACTGATTATCAGAAGGCTGAGTTCTAAAAGACATTCATTATGCTGCATATTTTAGACTATTCTATTATGTAACAAGCATTTAAGAAATACTACTACTGCTACTAATACTGTGGCTACAACAACTATTGGCTTTTGATCTTCCTCCAAAATCCAATTTTGTATGTAGGTTATGATTTGGTATTTCTTGTTAACTTCAGCCAGGCTTCATCTGGCTTAATCAAGAAGTTCCAGGGATAGTGACTGTCTTCTGGAGACAGTTTAGCTCCAAAGTCAGTAACTTTGCTTTACCTTCATGTACACTAGGTTTCTGCCAGACATTAGGAGTTTCATGGATAATTAAATAATTAAATTATATCAAACAGACAACTTATTATTTACATTAAAATCACTGGAGTAATTTTCTTTTCAGCCATTACACTTTTTGTTGCCTATTGTGGGAAAATACCAACAATATTTTCAGAGAGAAGAGGCAGCTCTCTCAAGAAGAATAATAGCTTCCTAAGGATACTGGATTTCATTATTTCCTTCTTTCTTGGGCTGGGTGACAAAATGTATCACCCTCTATCCTTCATGGCTTGTCTGCTTTGTCTTTGAGTAGGTGAGGTATTAAACAAGACTCCTACCTCAGCATTATTAACATAGGATATGCAGGCGGCTTAGCAACTGCATAGATCTATTTGGGAACAGTGCCTCAGGCAGAAGACAGCATGTGAGAGAAGGTAAGGAGCATTTTTAGGAGGTCATCATAACTGTGCAGCACTGCATATGGTTTTCCAAGTCCATCTGGATACAAGGTCCTGTATAGCCACAGTACAAGCCCAGGAAATAAGGAACTAAGTTGTAAAAGGCCTTGAAGGCAACACTTGAGGGCTCTCTGTAGTCTTGCTCTGGGAGTCTGGCCATTTTCTAGAATGAGCCCTGCATGAGTTTGACTCTATATAGAGTCAAATACCTGCTTGGGACCTGCCTTAGTATTGTGACTCACTGTCATAGGCAAAAGAACAAAGAATTCATTTCACTCTCAGAAGTTCTTCCTAAACTGGCCCACTATGATTAAGTGGGATTCATATAGAATAAATGTGGAACTTGATAATTTTACAAGGTTATTATGTGTATACCTCTGTTATATTAAATAAGGCTTCTGCCATAAATCTATCTGCAGATACCAGAAAGGTTTTTGATCAGATTGAGTAGTCATTCATCTTTTCCACCCATTGGGATGATGGGAATCAGACCTAAATTCATTACTTTCTTAAGATTAATGTGCCCAGCTAAAGCTGCCAAGATCCTTATTAAAAGTTACAATTCCAAAAGGTTTGGGTTGAAATAAAGTATTAAGCAGGGCACTCCCTTATCTCCATTATTGGTTGTTTTCTCATCAGACTCTGATGCAAGGACTTTCCTCCAGCAATGTTACTTTTCTGGTAAAGAAGGGAGATTGCCCTCTGTTCTGACAGCTCATCAGGTGCATCCACGAAGGACAGCATTCCTGTTCACTGCATTGCACCAGTACTGTACTTTATAGAGAATGGAATTCTCTCTTTGGATCTTGCCTGAATCAACATAGAAGCTTTTGAAAGTAGTTTCACTTTCTCCTGGTTATCACCTCATCAAGGGATAATGGACTCGGTGCAATCAAACATTATTGGTTCTTTGAAAATTAAATTTCTCTTCAGTCATTCAGCTTAAAAAGATTTACATAACTGGAATAACCTAGCTCTGTTGCTGGTTTCTTGGAAGACACCGCTAAGATTAATCTTATCTCCCACTTTAATTACTGTTTTCAAGTTCTTACAGTCCTTGTCCCAGTTACATCTTGTTGCGAAAACCACCAGAGAATGATATATTAAAATTTATTCAGGCAGGTGGCAGAGACAAAATTAAAGCTAATAACTCTATGAGAAAAGAAATCAAAGGTGGTTTGGCAATCCTGAGGTGTTATTTCTTGGTCCCTCAGTTGCAGTGGCTGCACAAGCAGGGTCCAAATGCCTGGGCTGTGTGAGTGTCTGTGTGCCACAGCTTTGCTGTGCAGGACTCGGGACTGCCACGGTCCCACAGCTGCACTAGCATCCATGGGATAAAGAGCCTTGGAGCAGGACTGCTTGTGGAAAAACCATGGTAAGTGTCTCATTAGAGGGTTCTGTCTCATTTATACCCAAAGAGGAGACTACTGTAACATACCTCTGGAAGACTAATGAAATTACACATACTGCATCTAAATGCATCCCTTCACTTCT